GGTACCCGGTGCTAATCCCCTCAGGAGGTCACGTGCGCCCCAGGGCGCCCAGATCTGCACCCTGGAAGCCCCGCTTCGTTAACTCCTCGAAGGCCGCTCCTGTGTGGCCTGGGACGGCAGGGCGTGAGGCCCTGGGCACCCCAGATCTCTGCCCTGCAGCTGGGCCCCGAGCCCCAAGAAGCCGCTGGCGCCCAGCTGTCATCTGTATTTCTATGGACGCAAAGCTGCTCCCCGAGAGCCACAGGTCTCTTTTCCAGGTGTCCTGGAGGCCGCACCCCGAGTCCCTCCACTCACAGTGTTGTTCTGAGCCAGGCGCCGGCGCTCACGCCTGTCATCCCAGCTACTCGGGAGGCTGAGACCTGAGGATCGCGGTTCAAAGCCAGCCCAGGCAGGAAAGTCCATGAGGCTTTTACCTCCCGTTAGCCAGCAAAAAGCCAGAAGTGGGGCCGTGGCTTAAGTGGTAGAGCGCCAGCTTGGAGTGAGAAGCACTCAGGAACGGCGCCCAGGCCCTGAGTTCAAGTCCCAATGCTTACTAAGCCCCAGTGCGTGTGCACCCCCCCCCCCAAAGAAAACTAAAAGCACCTCTGGGAGCTCGGGGAGAAAAGGTTGAGCCACAAAATGCCGGTGTCCGTATTCTCCCCCCCCCCCCCGACTCCTCTCCCCCCTTTCCCCTCGTTTCTGTTGAATAAGCAAAAGCAAGCTCGGGAAGATGCGCAGCGCCGCGGGGCTGCTCTGGTCCTTCGATTCTGCTCTGCTCTGTGTGTGGCCACGCCCCTTGTCGACCAATGGCCTGGCTTCCTCTCCAGGCCTTGGGGGCGGAGCTCTCGTCCCTCAGATGAGTGAGGGGCGGCCTGAGACCGGCAAGCTTACCCCTCCGGGTCCCCCCTCGGCCTCCCCTCCATCGATCGGAGGCCGCAGGCCTCCACCCTCTGCCCAGGAAGTGATCGATTCGGATTCGCAGCCAGCGTGGCGTAGAAGTAGCAGTCTTGGTTTTATGTCTGCCGTCTCCCTCTGTGTGTGTGTGTGTGTGTGTGAGTGTGTGTGTGTCTGTGAGTGTCTGTGTCTGTGTGTGAGGTGCAGCAGGTGGCTTGGGGCTTCAGGCTGAGGAGGAGGCTCACGTGTGTGGCTGTCGGTCCTGGGGCTTGAACTCAGGGCCTGGGCGCTGTCCCTGAGCTTTGTCCCTCGCGGCTGGCGCTCCACCACGCGAGCCACAGCGCCGTGTCTGCCTGGTCACTGGTCTGCTAGGGATCAGAGTCTCCCGGACTTTCCTGCCCGGGCTGGCCTTGAACCTCGATCCTCCGATCTCAGCCTCCTGAGGGGCTGGGTGACGGGCGTGCGCACCGGAGCCCGGCTTTCTGTGAGAAGGTTGTTGTTTCTCCCATCTTTGGATCCAGTCATCGGCCAGAGGAGCGTCTGAGGGAATTTGGTTCCACAATGCAGAGCCATCGTTCTGGGGGTCCCACCAGTCCCCCCACGCTGCCCGCCACGGTGCCACGCAGGGGCCGGAGGGCCCCAGGGCCCCTCCGGAGGGCGCGGGAAGCCCTGATCTGGCTTTGGACGCGTCCTGACCCCCTTGGGTTCACAGTGTCTGTCTCCCCCCCCCCCCCCACAGCTGGCTTTCCGCTTATCTTAATTTATTGATGAAAACGTGGGTTACGGCTCGGGGCACAGACAGCGGCCGCTCCTTGCCAAAAGCAAGCCCCTTCCCAGCCCGGAAGAGCCACGCCATCCCCGAGATGGGCGGCTGGGGACCGGCGGCTGGCGGGCGCAGCGGCAGGATGGGGGCGGGGGGGGGACATGGGGGCGGGGGGGGGGACAGGCAGGGGGGGACAGGCGGAGGGGGAGCCGCCTGGTGGAGGCCCCCCTCCCCCTCCCCCCCAGGCCCACCGCCTCCCGGGCAATCCACACCAGCTCTCCGCTTTGCACACGGCACTTGGCTGGGAGTTCCTTGCTCACGAATGGCCTTGAATTGTGACAGAGCCATAGGGGGTTGGAAGCGTGAAATCCACCATCTCAGAGCAAATGCGACTCAGGAGGCTGAGGTGGGGGGCTGGGGGGCTCTGGGCCGGGCACAGTGCCCGGTGGGTGTGGGGGGGGTTTGCGAGACCCCATCTCCACAAAGACACGCACGGTGCTGCCTTCCTTTGGCCCAGTTACTCAGGAAAGGCGCAGGGGAGGGGAGGGGAGGGGAGGGGAGGGCTGGGGTGGGGAGGGGAGGGTTGGGTTGGGGAGGGCTGGGGCGGGGGATCACAGCTCCAGGCTGGCCCTGGGGAAGCAGCGCTGGACCCCGTGTGAAAATCAGCGAGGGGGGTGGGGGGGCGGCCCTGGGTGCGAGAGCTGCGGGTGGGAAGGCCGGCGGAGGGGCCTCGCTCCGCAGCGGTGGACGGGCCGGGGCGCGGGTCTGGCCCGCACTGCCCGGCCTTCCTGGCGGAGGGGCCTGGGTGGCGTCCGTGGCCGCGTGTCCGGGGCTCCCGTGGACGCGGCTGGGCCGAGGCTGACCACGCGTGGCTCCCTGCCGCAGCGCGGATCTTTAAACTCCTCCAGCCGCCGGAGGCCGCGGCCTCTGAGCTCCTGCTCCAGGCGGGCGCTCCACCCCTTGAGCCACAGCGCCACTTCTGGCTTTTTCTGCGTCTGTGGTGCTGAGGAATCGAACCCAGGGCCTCACGGCGTGCCAGACGAGCGCTCTGCCACGGAGCCACCTGCCCGGCCCCAGTTTGACTATTGAATTGTTACTACACAAGCGGCGTTCGGAAGGCGCCGGTGATGCGGGTCAGGGGAAGCGTGCGTGTGCGTGCCCTCCAGCCCCGACGCCTCAGACACAGAGCGAGAACCCCGTTCCCAAATAACCAAAATGTAACTAGGTTGTCCATAGGCAGGTGGCCGCACGCAATGTCATTTGGAGTCAAACGGGGCTCCAAAATAGGGGTGTGATATTCCTGTCACCTACAAAGCCGGGGTGTCCAGACCGCCACGGGGAGCTGAGAAAAAAGAAAAATACACAGAGCCCAATAAAAGCGGGTCCAGGGAGGGCACGCCTGTAATCCCGGCTGCTGGGGCCGGGGTAGGACGAGATCCACGGCCAGCCTTGGGAACGCACAGGACCCTCCGACACACCAGGCTGGCGGTGCGGCCCCCACGGCAGAGCCGTCCCCCGCCAGCCCTGAGTGACAAGCTCGGGGCGGCGCCCAGGCCCCCAGCTCAAGCCCCAGATTGGCACACGCGTGCACACACAGACACACAGACACCCACCCACGGACACGGACTTGGCTTCCGGCTGGAGAGAGGGCTCACCACGGGGCCCCTGCTACCAGGGCTCAGTTTACCTCCTGTGCGTGTGTGGGATGGACGGGGGCGGATGCGGGACCCCCTCAGGCTGGGGTCTCCTCTCTGTACTTTGTCCTGCCCGGCAGGTGCAAGGCTGGCATTGGCCAGCCGTGAGCAGAGCTCCCGCACCCAGCCCCAGCACATGGGCGGCGGGCGGCCCCTGCTGGCCGGCATGGGCATTGATGGCGTCCTGATCCCCAGCCCCAGCACATGGGCGGCTGGCGGCCCCTGCTGGCCGGCGCGGGCATTGATGGCGTCCTGATCCCCTTCCCCAGCCCCAGCACATGGGCGGCTGGCGACCCCTGCTGGCCAGCGCGGGCATTGATGGCGTCCTGACCCCCCCCACCCAGCCCTGAGCACATGGGCGGCTGGCGGCCCCTGCTGGCCAGCGCGGGCATTGATGGCGTCCTGACCCCCCCACCCAGCCCTGAGCACATGGGCGGCTGGCGGCCCCTGCTGGCCAGCGCGGGCATTGATGGCATCCTGACCCCCCCCCCCCAGCCCCAGCCCTGAGCACATGGACGGCTGGCGGCCCCTGCTGGCCGGCGCGGGCATTGATGGCGTCCTGATCCCCCATCCAGCCCCAGCCCCAGCACATGGGTGGCTGGCGGCCCTGCTGGCCAGCGCGGGCATTGATGGCATCCTGACCCCCCCCCCCCAGCCCCAGCCCTGAGCACATGGGCGGCTGGTGACCCCTGCTGGCCAGCGCGGGCATTGATGGCGTCCTGATTCCCCCATCCAGCCCCAGCCCTGAGCACATGGGCGGCTGGCGGCCCCTGCTGGCCAGCGCGGGCATTGATGGCGTCCTGACTCCCCCCCCAGCCCCAGCACATGGGCGGCTGGCGGCCCCTGCTGGTCAGCGCGGGCATTGATGGCGTCCTGACTCCCCCCCCCAGCCCCAGCACATGGGCGGCGGGCGGCCCCTGCTGGCCAGCGCGGGCATTGATGGCGTCCTGACCGCCCTCCCCAGTCACCCTCCCATAGCTGGGTCTTCCCAGCAGAGAGGAAGCTGCGGGCGGTGGCAGGGCCGTCCGCGGCCCACCCTCCCTCCTGCCCGCTGAGGTGGGAGAAGCGGCCGGCCATGGAGGGGGGCCCCCCACCCCCTCCCTCAGCGGGTTCCCGGTGTGATGAATGATCGGTTGAGCACACTGGGAGTTTGTGAACGGAGAACGCGGGACAGCGCGCCACCTGGTGGCCGTGGGCGGGGTGGCAGCGGGTCCCGCGGGGCTGGACGGTGCCCGGGCTGGGGGGGCCCTGCGGGGGGGGGGGGACCCCGGGCGGAGGGGATGTGGGGCGCCCAGCGCGGGCTGTGTGCGCAGCACGCGCGTCCAGCCAGGGCGAGGCCCCGAGGGGCAGGCTCTGTGGAAATGGTCTTTTTGGGTGTGTGTGTGTGGGGTCAGTCCTGGGTCTTGAACTCGGGGCCTGGGCGCTGTCCCTGAGCTTGCTCCGCTCGGCCACATGCGCCTCAGTGCCAGCCCCCCCGGGTTGACGGACGGCCCTTGGGGATCCGCGTGGGGTGGGCCTTCCCGCCCGGGCTGGCTTTGAACTGGGGTCCTCGGGTGTCGCCCGCTGGGTGGCTGGGACCGTGCGGTTCTGGCTGGGGAGCCAGCGGGGAAGGTGGGGGGCCTCGGGCTGGTCTGACCCCCCTCTCCCCCTCTCCCCCCTGTCTCCCCCAGCTCTGCGGCTGCGGGCTGCTGGGCGTGGGCATCTGGCTGTCCGTGTCCCAGGGCAACTTCGCCACCTTCTCCCCCAGCTTCCCCTCGCTGTCCGCGGCCAACCTGGTCATCGCCCTGGGCGCCGTTGTCATGGTGACCGGCTTCCTGGGCTGCCTGGGGGCCATCAAGGAGAACAAGTGCCTGCTGCTCAGCGTGAGTGCGCCCCGCGCCCCACAGGGTCCCCCGGGCCACCCCACAGCCCCCCCACCACCCCCCGGGCCGGCCCACAGCCCCCCTACCCCCCGGGCCGGCCCACAGCCCCCCACCCCCCCTGGGCCGGCCCACAGCCCCCCACCCCCCCCAGGCCGGCCCACAGCCCCCCACCCCCCCCCGGGCCACCCCACAGCCCCCCCACCCCCCCGGGCCACCCCACAGCCCCCCCACCCCCCCCAGGCCGGCCCACAGCCCCCCACCCCCCCCCAGGCCGGCCCACAGCCCCCCACCCCCCCCCCGGGCCACCCCACGGCCCCCCCACCCCCGGGCCGGCCCACGGCCCCCCCACCCCCTGGGCCGGCCCACAGCCCCCCCACCCCCTGGGCCGGCCCACAGCCCCCCCACCCCCCGGGCCACCCCACAGCCCCCCCCCGGGCCGGCCCACAGTCCCCCCACCCCCCCGGCCCACCCCACGGCCCCCCCACCCCCCGGGCCACCCCACGGCCCCCCGACGGGCCACCCCACAGCCCCCCCACCCCCCCGGGCCACCCCACGGCCCCCCCATCCCCGGGCCACCCCACGGCCCCCCCCCCCGGGCCACCCCACGGCCCCCCCCACCCCCCCGGGCCACCCACGGCCCCCCCACCCCCCCGGGCCACCCCACGGCCCCCCCCCGGGCCACCCCACAGCCCCCCCATCCCCGGGCCACCCCACGGCCCCCCCCCCGGGCCACCCCACAGCCCCCCCCATCCCCGGGCCACCCCACGGCCCCCCCCCGGGCCACCCCACGGCCCCCCCCCGGCCACCCCACGGCCCCCCCCGGGCCACCCCACAGCCCCCCCACCCCCCCGGGCCACCCCACGGCCCCCCCCCGGGCCACCCCACAGCCCCCCCATCCCCGGGCCACCCCACGGCCCCCCCACCCCCAGGCCACCCCACGCCCCCCCCCGGGCCACCCCACGGCCCCCCCCACCCCCCCGGGCCACCCCACGGCCCCCCCACCCCCCAGGCCACCCCACGGCACCCCCACGCCCCCCCCCCGGGCCACCCCACGGCCCCCCCACCCCCCTGGGCCGGCCCACGGCCCCCTACCCCCCCGGGCCGGCCCACAAGGCCCCAGCCAATGCCAGCTCACCCAGGGCCTGGCCTGGAGAAACTGCTTCTAGAATGTTCCAGGCTGGCCCCAAGCGGGTCCTTTTTGCACCTGGGGTAGCTGGGTCCTTGGGTTCCTCCAGGGCTGGGAGGCCGGGTCGCCCCCTCCCCCCCCTGCCCCCCCGCCCCCCCCGCCCCCCCCGCCCCGACACCCCCCCCCGCCCCGCCCCCCCGCCGCCCCGTCACCCCGCCCCCCCGCCCCGCCACCCCCGCCCCGCCCCCCCGCCCACGCGGACGTCTGTCTCGCCAGTTCTTCGTCGTCCTGCTGGCCATCCTCCTCGCTGAGCTCATCCTGCTCATCCTCTTCTTCGTCTACATGGACAAGGTCAGCCCGGCGGCGGGGGGGAGGCGGGGGGGGGGGGGGCGCACGGTCCCTGGGGCCTCTGGGGAGGGGGGTGGGGGGCGCATGGCGGGGGCTGGGGAGGGGTGGGGTGGGGGGCGCATGGCGGGGGCTGGGGAGGGGTGGGGTGGGGGGCGCATGGCGGGGGCTGGGGAGGAGGGGGGTGGGGGGCGCATGGCGGGGGCTGGGGAGGGGTGGGGTGGGGGGCGCATGGCGGGGGCTGGGGAGGGGTGGGGTGGGGGGCGCATGGCGGGGGCTGGGGAGGGGTGGGGTGGGGGGCGCGTGGCGGGGGCTGGGGAGGGGTGGGGTGGGGGGGCGCATGGCGGGGCTGGGGAGGGGTGGGGTGGGGGGCGCGTGGCGGGGGCTGGGGAGGGGTGGGGTGGGGGGCGCATGGCGGGGGCTGGGGAGGAGGGGGGTGGGGGGCGCATGGCGGGGGCTGGGGAGGGGTGGGGTGGGGGCGCATGGCGGGGGCTGGGGAGGGGTGGGGTGGGGGGCGCGTGGCGGGGGCTGGGGAGGGGTGGGGTGGGGGGCGCATGGCGGGGCTGGGGAGGGGTGGGGTGGGGGGCGCATGGCGGGGGCTGGGGAGGAGGGGGGTGGGGGGCGCATGGCGGGGGGCTGGGGAGGGTGGGGTGGGGGGCGCGTGGCGGGGGCTGGGAGGGGTGGGGTGGGGGGCGCGTGGCGGGGCTGGGGAGGGTGGGGTGGGGGGCGCGTGGCGGGGGCTGGGGAGGGGTGGGGTGGGGGGCGCATGGCGGGGGCTGGGGAGGGGTGGGGTGGGGGGCGCGTGGCGGGGGCTGGGGAGGGGTGGGGTGGGGGGCGCGTGGCGGGGGCTGGGGAGGGTGGGGTGGGGGGCGCGTGGCGGGGGCTGGGGAGGGTGGGGTGGGGGGCGCGTGGCGGGGGCTGGGGAGGGTGGGGTGGGGGGCGCGTGGCGGGGCTGGGGAGGAGGGGGGTGGGGGGGCGCATGGCGGGGGGCTGGGGAGGGTGGGGTGGGGGGGCGCATGGCGGGGGCTGGGGAGGGTGGGGTGGGGGGCGCGTGGCGGGGGCTGGGGAGGGTGGGGTGGGGGGCGCGTGGCGGGGGCTGGGGAGGGGTGGGGTGGGGGGCGCATGGCGGGGGCTGGGAGGAGGGGGGTGGGGGGCGCGTGGCGGGGCTGGGGAGGGGGGGTGGGGGGCGCATGGCGGGGCTGGGGAGGGGTGAGGTGGGGGGCGCGTGGCGGGGGCTGGGGAGGGGGGAGGCGGGGGGGGCGCGTGGCGGGGCTGGGGAGGGGTGGGGTGGGGGGCGCGTGGCGGGCTGGGGAGGGGTGGGGTGGGGGGCGCGTGGCGGGGCTGGGGAGGGGTGGGGTGGGGGGCGCGTGGCGGGGCTGGGGAGGGGTGGGGTGGGGGGCGCGTGGCGGGGCTGGGGAGGAGGGGGGTGGGGGGCACGTGGCGGGGCTGGGGAGGCCGAGGCGGGGCGGGTGCGGAGGCCTGGCCCCGGCTGACCGCAGCGGCCCGCAGGTCAGCGAGAACGCGCAGCAGGACCTGAAGGAGGGGCTGCTGCTCTACAACACGGACAACAACGTGG